GATTAAAATAGAGATGGACATTTAGAGAAGAACATAATCAATTTTCGCCACCATTGATCTTTATTATTGTATTGAATTTTAATAAATTTATTTAGTTATATTTATAATATTAATATTCAATAAACTTAATTATTTGATGTTAGTTTCTGAGTTTTGATATTTGATAAGTGAAAAAAAATTATTTATAGGGCAGAACGGCCCATTCTGGATTCAAAATGACCCGTCCTAGTTCCATTTTTTATGTACTAATTTTGAATCCGGAACGGTCCGTTCTGATCTATTTTTCATGTATTATTTTTTAAACTGGAACGACCCATTCTGAAATCAGAATGGTCCGTTCTGAACGTGAACAGTAAATAATGCTAGTTCGAGAAATAAATTTACACAGTTGCTATTTAGATAATTTTTTTAAATAGTATTATTTGAGTAAAAACACTCCAATTTTAAATCTTGTTTTAAATAATTTAACACGTGAAATTTGTCCCAATATATTTACTCACATACATTACATACATATTATGAAACTCAATTGATATTTGAGCCTAAAAAAACTATAACACTAATTATAAAAAGAAAAAAGATGTTTGAACCTATAAAAGGACTATAAACATAGTGCGATTTGGGTAAAAGAAAATAAATTTCATGAACAATCATAAAATAATTTGATGTTAGATTTTTTTTAATATTTCAATTGCGTGTTTGACTTATTTTATTACAATCTTTGTCAAATTCATAATTATTTTCTATTAAAAAATTAATTAAGTTCAATAGTTTTTATATAGGTAAATTTAATAAGATAAATTTCACGTTTTGAACAAGTGAAAAAAGATTCAAAAAATTGTGTTTCAAAATTTAAAGTGATCGATATTTTAGGAGGCCAAATCAACCAAATTTAAAAGTCAAAGAAGCAAAATGAACATTAATTTTAAAAGATAAAAAATCAAAATAAAATTTAAAAATAAGATAAAAAATAAAAATATATAATTTAAACTTTTTAAAAATTCATATTTATAATAAACATGAGTAATATAACAAGTATACATCTTTATACACCAATGCGAATTTTTCTTGCTCAAAATAAGTGTAATTTGGTCATCACACTATTTAGGAAATTATCAATATTATAAATTAGCGTACAAAAGATACTTTATATTTTTATGAATTATTTTAAAAAATAATAAATAATAAAATTATATAATAATGAATGCTTATTAAAAATGCACACAGTTATAGAGTAAAATTTATATAAAAAAGAATAAAAATTTAATTTATAAAAGATGATTATAAAGGTAAAATCATTAAAAAATATGGACACTAAATGAGATAATTTTCTTTATTAATAGTGTAGATCAGTCTTTCAAATATAAAATAAGGATAAAAATGAAAGTAAATAAATAATTAAGTAAATTATAACATTAATTTTTTTTTGATGAAATTAACACTTATTTGTGTCAAAATTTTCTTTTATTATTTTAATTTCATATTAAATAAGTTATGCAAAATATATTAATGAGTTTTTAATTATTACTATTTTATTTATGTATTAAATAAGTTATTGGGTGGTTTTTTTTGCCCAAAATAGGGATTTTTAATTCATTTTATTCTTTGATTCATTAAACTACGTAATTATAACATATAAATATCTTAATCTTTCCACGCATACATAATATATAATGTAGTCTAGTGTATATATATATATATATATACTCGA